GGAAAAATTATAAAATCAAAATATTGAAAAACCGAAAAATTGAAAACTCCTGAAATTGTAAATCGAAACGTGGAAGTTGTAGCCCCGCCCACCCACCCCTCTTTATTCCAGTGACTACTCTTAATATTGTTGAGTCTTATGTCAGCAAGTTTTAGCCCCGCCCACCCACCCTTATTATCGAGAAATCGAAACACCAAAAAATCGAAAAATTATAACTGAAAACCCGAAAAGGTAAAAAATCGAAAAATCCAACAATTTAAGAATCGAAATGTTGAAAACTCTCAAAGCTAACACATCGAAAAACTGAGAAATCCATAAATCGAAAAATCGAAAATCTGAAAGATAAAAAAAAATTGAAAAAACGAAAAATTGTAAGATCAAAAAAGCGAGAAGTCGCAAGATCGAAAATTTAAAAAAACTGAAAAACTGAAAAATCAGAAACATGAAAAATAGAAAAATAGAAAAATTGAAGAATTAAAAAACGGAAATATCTTAAAATCGAAAATTCTAAAATTTAAAAAATGGAAAATTAAAATGACAAATTGAAGAATCGAAAAGTTGAAAAATTAAAAAATTGAAATATCGAAAAATCTAAAAATTAATAAATTGAAAAATCTAAAAATTGAAAAATCCAGAAGGTGAAAAACCGAAACATCAAAAGAAAAATTCGAAAATTTAAGAATCGAAATGCTGAAAAATCGCAAAACTGAGATCGAAGAAAAATTAAAGAATCAAGAAACTGAAAAATCAAGAAACTGAAAAATCAAGAAATCGAAAAGTTGAAAAATCGAGAGTTTAAAAAATCAAAAAATTGATATGTCAAAAATCTAAAAAATAGAACGTCGAAGAGTCGAAACATCGAAAAGTGGGGAAATCGTGAAATGGAAAAACTGAAAACCCAAAAAATTGAGAAATCCAAACATCAAAAAATCGAAAAATTGAATAACTGAAAACCCGAAAAGGTAAAAAATCGGAAAATTGAAAAAGGAAAAATTTAGAAGTCGAAATATTGAAGAATTTCAAAACTGACATTCCCAAAAATCGAAAAAGTGATTAAAAAAAATTGAACTATCGAAAAATTGTAAGAAAAAAATCTAGAAGTCGAAAAATCGAAAATTAAAAAAAAATGAAAAATTGAAAAATCGTAGACCTGAAAAGTCTTAAAATCGAAAAGTCTAAAATTTAGAAAATGAAAAATTAAAATGACAAATTGAAGAATCGAAAAGTTGAAAAATTAAAAAATCGAAATATCGAAAAATTTAAAAATTGTTAAATTGAAAATTCTAAAAATTGAAAAATCCAGAAGGTAAAAAACCGAAACATCAAAAGAAAAACTCGAAAAATTTAAGAATCGAAATGCTGAAAAATTACAAAACTGAGATCGAAGAAAAATGAAATAATCAAGAAACTGAAAGATCAAGAAAAGTCGAATTGAAAATGGAAAAATTTTGGACTCGAAATGTTGAAGAATCTCAAAACTGACATTCCCAAAAATCGAAAAACTGATAAAATAAAAAAAAAATTGAAGAATCGAAAAATTGTACGAAAAAAATCGAGAAGTCGAAAAATCGGAAATTAAAAAACAAATGAAAAATTGAAAAATCGTAAACCTGAAAAATGGAACAATTGAAAAATTGAAGAATTAAAAAACGGAAAATTCTTAAAATTGAAAAGTCTAAAATTTAAACATAAGAAAATAAAAAAGACAAATTGAAGGAACGAAAAGTTGAAAAATCAAAAAATCGAAAAACCCAGAACGTAAAAAAAAGAAAGAAGTTTTAAAAATAAAAAAATTGATAATCAAAAACGTGGAAAATTGAGACGTAGAACAATCGTAACATCGAAAAGTCGAGAAATCGTGAAATGGAAAAATCGAAAACCCAAAAAATCGAGAAATCCCAACATCGAAAAATCGAAAAAATGACTAACTGAAAAGTCGAAAACCTAAAAAATCGGAAAATTGAAAAATCGAAAAATATACAAATCGAAATGTTGAAAACTCTCAAAACTAACATACCCAAAATCGAAAAACTAATTAATTAAAAAAAATGAAGTATCGAAAAATTGTAATATAAAAAAATTGAGAAGTCGAAATATCGAAAATTTTAAAAAACTGATAAGTTGAAAAAATCTAAGTAACCTGAAAAATGGAACAATTGATAAAACGAAGATTTAAAAAACGGAAAAACCTTAAAATCGAGGAATTCGAGAAATCGAAAACTGTAAAATTAAAAAAAATCGAAAATTCAAATAAAAAATTGAATTGAATAGCTGAAAAATCAAGAAATCGAAACATCAAACAATCGAAAAACTGAATAACTGAAAAGTCGAAAAGCTAAAAAATCGGAATTTTAAAAAATCGAAAAATATAGGAATCGAAATGTTGAAAAATCTCAAAACTGACATTCCCAAAAATCGAAAAACTGATTAATTAAAAAAAATGAAGAATTGAAAAATTGTAAAATAAAAAAATGGAGAAATCGAAATATCTAAAATTTAACAAAAAAGATAAGTTGAAAAAATCAAAAAACCTGAAAAATAGTAAAATTGAAAAATTGAAGAATTAAAAAACGGAAAAACCTTAAAATCGAGGAATCCGAGAAATCGAAAACTCTAGAATTTAAAAAAATTGAAAATTCAAATAAAAAATTGTATCGAATAGCTGAAAAATCAAGAAATCGAAACATCAAACAATCGAAAAACTAAATAACTGAAAAGTCGAAAACCTAAAAAATCGGAATATTGAAAAATCGAAAAATATAGGAATCGAAATGTTGAAAAATCTCAAAACTGACATTCCCAAAAATCGAAAAACTGATTAATTAAAAAAAATTAAGAATTGAAAAATTGTAAGATAAAAAAATGGAGAAGTCGAAATATCGAAAATTTAACAAAAAAGATAAGTTGAAAAAATCAAAAAACCTGAAAAATAGTAAAATTGAAAAATTGAAGAATTAAAAAACGGAAAAACCTTAAGATCTAGGAATCCGAGAAATCGAAAACTCTAAAATTTAAAAAAATTGAAAATTCAAATAGAAAATTGTATCGAATAGCTGAAAAATCAAGAAATCGAAACATCAAACAATCGAAAAATTAAATAACTGAAAAGTCGAAAACCTAAAAAATCGGAATATTGAAAAATCGAAAAATATAGGAATCGAAATGTTGAAAAATCTCAAAACTGACATTCCCAAAAATCGAAAAACTTATTAATTAAAAAAAATTAAGAATTGAAAAATTGTAAGATAAAAAAATGGAGAAGTCGAAATATCGAAAATTTAACAAAAAAGATAAGTTGAAAAAAACAAAAAATCTGAAAAATAGTAAAATTGAAAAATTGAAGAATTAAAAAACGGAAAAAACTTAAGATCGAGGAATCCGAGAAATCGAAAACTCTAAAATTAAAAAAAATCGAAAATTCAAATAAAAAATTCAATCGAATAGCTGAAAAATCAAGAAACAATTAATCCGAAAATTAATAAATTGAAAATTGTAAAAATTGAAAAATCCAAAAGGTAAAAACCGAAAAATCAATAGAAAAATCTAAAAATCTAAAAATCGAATTGTTGAAAAATCCCAAAACGAGACCTCAGAAAATTGATAAAATCGAATCATCGAAAACTGAAAAATCAAAGAAAAATGAAACAAGCGAGAATGTGAAAGATCAAGAAATCGAAAAGTCGAAAAATCGAAAACCTAAAAATCTAAAAATTGAAGAATTGTTATACAATTTTGATTTTTTTTTATTCAAGACAGGTTCATAAACCACAAGTCCAGGACTATATTATTTTCAAACATTTAAATAATATTTTAATTTTAATTCGACAAAATTGAATGAATTCCTGAAGGGAGGGACTCATGAACGGATAAATTTTTGATTTTTTTTCCAAAAAATTGGATGCCTATTGTAAAATCCAACTCGGATTCGTGAACCACAAACGGAGGAGTGCAATATTTTATAAAATTTAAATAACATTTACTATAGTAAAATTTGTAGATGACGTCATTCTATTGTTGCTGAGGATGATTGAACAAATTTTGGTGAACATTTTATTATCTACATGATATTCCTCAAAATGCATATAAAATTTGACAACAGCGATCGACACAGACTAATAAAAATCGACACAGACGGCTGACAGACAGACAGACGGAAACGGCAGACCTGCTATTTCGTGCTGTACAATAAAATTTGTCTGTTCATATCCACCCATCAAAATGTGATGACGTCGTTTCAAAACTTTGCAAAGTCGTTCGTTCTCATTTGAAATATTCGATAGTGTAGTTTCCATACACTCGAATTTTTTGCCAAATATATACAATATGTACAAAAAATCTAGAGTATTCGAAAACATTTTTTTTAATGATTTTGCTAGCTACTTATAGCAAAAAAATTTCTTAAAGCAGTGTCCTTCTAGGATTAAGTAAATTCTATCTAAATACCCTCGGATAAATTTTAATAAATAAAACGCTTTAATAATTAATCACAGTTTACGTTCAAACTATATAGTTGTCGAGAAATCTGCACTTTCGTGACCAACGAGGTGAGAACCGGCAAGAAGACCTAATAGAAGTAATCGTCGAAAGCACATGACGACAAAAGCTAACGAACTGTCTCGTCCTCAAGTGGGGCTCCGATTAACTTTTTCCGCTCGGGGTCCTCCATACCCCTGCGAGTTCGGTCGTTTCCTGCAAAACCCCGAAAAGTGGCCGGTGTATTTCTCCCGCCCCTCGTTTTCGGCGTCCGCCCCCGCCTCTCGCCTCACAGGTGCATCCCGCCGCCGCCGCCGCACGTGCACTGTTGCCGGAACCGGGCCCAGCCCGCCTCTATATTTAAATGTTTTCCATTGTGCTTTCCTATAGTAAATAATGTAGGGGATATTACATAACCGACGGTTGCCCATCCTGGCTGCGGCGACCGTCGCCGAGACGAGCCGATCCGCGTTCGGCCCGCCGTCTGGCCCGCGACTCCGCCGCACAGGTTCAGTAAGTGCCGACTTGCAGTGCATGCCGCAGGTACGCGACCGCCGCGACCGCCACCAAAAGTTGTCATAGGTGCGAGTGCCACGGGCCGGCCGTGCCGCGAGACTACACCGCACGCCGCCCCCACGCCGCCCGCCGCACCGCACGTGCGGCCACCGCTGACCCGGGAGCCGCTTGGCCGGGCGAACCCTGGCGAGCGACGACGCCGCTCCTCGATTCCGTCTTCTATGCAGTGTTCAAGAGCGACGCGAGTGATCGCTGGCACCGGCTTGTTGCAGGAGCGGACACGAAGTAGGTGGCTGCGGCGACCCCGCTTACCTAACCTCAAACTCGGAGGCGGCACGCCGAGGCTCCGGGCCCGGAGGCCGCGTGGGCGGGATTATTTCGGCCCTGCTGAGAGCCGCACTTGCAGCTTGCACGGCTCCGGGACGCAGCCAGGTTGCAACCTGTTCATGTACGGTTATGTTTATAAACAAACGCGGTCGCAGGAGGCGCAGGAATTGTTCCGGGTCGATATGACGTTTGACGTCACGCACCAGGATTGGGGAAAAGTGCCGAAATTTCGGTGGGAGTGACGTCATTTCTATGGCGTTTTTGGGTTCGGGAAAGTGTTGACGGTCTCAAGGACGCCGCTTTGGTATGTCCGTGAAGGTTGTTATGGCGAAAATCGGAATTATGACGACGGCGAAAACAACGCCGGCCGAATGTTGTTGTTATCATTAGTTATCTCTAGTGTATACAAACAAAAATAACGCACGACCTTGACCTACAAGTGGGGAAATTTGTCAGGTGTGCATGTTTTGGGCGGTAGCGGGAGAGGCAAAATTTTTCACTAAACTACGAAAATTGTGCTCGATTCGTGATTTTTTCACAAGTGTGGAGGTATGTATTGGATGTGCTTTTTTGACTGTGAATTTGGGTTTTCCCATCCGCATTGGAGTATTGTTTACAAAATTTTTTCCTTCAAAAATTCGTCCAAACATCTCATAAACCTATCACTGCCACTACGTGTGCTAAAGTTGACCCAACATTTTTTCTTCGTCACAAATAAAACACAAACCGGGAAATAGAGACAATAAAGCTCACAGAAAAAGTAGACGAAAATAGGAGATCAGTTTAGGAAGTTCATGTTTTTTTATCCCTGTGTCACCTTTTCTACTATTCGATTACCTCTCATGATGTTCAGCATGACATCATTAATGTGTACATGAAATAAAAGCCGGTCAAATACTGCGCCTTGTGGGACACCTTACTAAAATTTTATCAATATCTTGACAATAAGTTGCCATCGCTAGGATTAGACGATATTGAAGCAAGTCTATTGGATTTCTACCAGAATAAAGATAGACCAGACGAAAAATTTTCCAGGCTCAAAAAATGGAAACTTTAAATAAATTAAGAGTTTAGTAAAATTTGACGTTATATTTGAAATTATGTCTAAAACGTACACATTTGGTTTCAATAAGAGAAACAAATATAACACTTGCCTTCAACAGATCTTTACAATTTTAAATTGAAACTTTCTTGGCAAAAAACTGTGTTTAAAACTGAAATCTCATTTTTAATACTTTTGCTTACAATGACTTTGAATGAATTAAAACATACGACAAAGATCTTCACACGGAACTAAAGAACTTTATCTTCGTTTTGATCCTTGTTGAACTACTCATAACTACTAGATTCGAATTTAAAAATTGATTACAACGATCCAAAATTTTGCCGTTTATATTGTAGTGAAATACTATTGGCTGTGTTTTCCTAGTTAAAGACATATTATTAAATTTAAATCCGATGACAATAAGACATTTTTTGGAACTTTTTGAAAAATGAGTCAATAATATTAATAATCTTACAACTTTCTTAGAAGTGACAATTGATGTATGGACAGATATCATTAACAAATATAGTAAATAACAGCGGTCCAAGATTTGACCCTTGTGCCACACCACTGAAAATAATATGCATGATAACTATCATATTCAACCCACTGACGCCTGTTCATCACCATTGTTTTCAACAGCTAAGTAAAACACGATGATGGACTTTATAGAAAACTTTAGTTAGATCCGTGTATATAACATACATTATTTGAGAAGCATACAAAACCATGTTGCTCTTTAGAAATAACATTAACTACGTGCGAATATACTATTTATGCATCAGATGTAGGATTTTTTTGATTTTTTTCACTATAGTTTAAGAAATAATTTTTTTCTGCGTTTTCGTGCGATAATTTTTCGATTTTGTAAAATATCTAACCCCAGTACTGTCAATTAAAAATTATACGATAAACACAGTAGGCGTACATCACTGTTATGTCAACTGTTGGCATTCACATTTTTTTGTTTTGTCATTTCAGGCGTGGATATTGAAAATGTAATTAACATTCGTATTATTATCCAAATTGATTTAAAACTGATGTAAAACATTCGAATCTAGTTAAAAAAAACCTGCTATTTAGGATATAAAATTTAATATTCTTTTATGAGACAGTGTAATTTTTTTCATTTTATTAAGACGATTATAAAAAATCTTATATCAAGGTGACTTTGAAATTTCGTGAATTTTGCCGTCTTGGTGTGATGATTGATGAAGTCTCGTTGTCGCCTGTCACAAATGTAACTCAATTTTCCTGGTAGGTAGGCCACTACTTTCAAGGACACAATTTTGGCTAAATTTTACTCGTCCTTTTCAAGCCCGTGGTCTAGGGCTTGACCCAAAAATTTGTTCGCGGTTTGATGACAGATTACACGCTCTAGTTTCTTTCTGCGAATATACAAAACTAATTTGAGAAGTTCGCGGCCTGATAACGAAGGATTGCGTTTCTGGTGCTAGTTAACACAGTCTGGTGGTGCTGAAAATTCCTTTTTTTGACGAAGTCACGTTTTTGCAAATTAATCGAGAGAAGCAAATTTGGCCTTCAACGACCATATTTAAATTCTATAGTCTATATATAGCTGCATGTGAAAATGTATTGTAGTCAAAACAGTCCCCAAAGGTTAAAAATTTCCGTGGCGTTGACCGGCTTTAACATTGACAACAATTTCCAAGCGTCTGGACAAAATACAGAAAAATTATCATTGCCTGTTTGACTTTTTCCAAAATTCAACAATGTCGAATTTATTGATCGTCAATGTTTCTTCTAAAATTTTTAAGTTCTCTCAGTATTATTAAAATTGAGTAAGTTTGCCGATTTTCTGGATATGCGTGAAGAGCAACTTCAAGACCCGGGGAAAAACTTTTGAAACTAATTTTAATTGGTACCTTAAATTTAGAAATTATTAAAAAAAAAAACAGAAACTCGACAAAAACAGCCAGGTTTATATAGTTTCGTCAAGAGTTATTAGTTTCTGTATTACAAGTATAACACCAGTGAAAACAATTAGGTTCGCTTGTTATCACCTGTTATCTCTAGTGGATACAAATAAAAACACCATCCGACCTTGAACTTGAAAGGGTCTGTCAGGTATACGATATGTTGATTTTCCTTTTTTTAACTGAATTATGGAAGAGACACAAAAGTAAAATTTCTGCCTGGCTTCTATAATTAGATCATGATCTTTTTCCCATCTGAAGAAGAGTTAGTTTTTGCGATGCTTGAATTTTGGCATTGGGTCTTATAGCGATTCAAAATTTTTTTTCGTTCCGTGATTAACGTGAAATGTAAGTAAACAAAAACAATTCTCGTATCCCGACACAAATTGAAACCTGGTCAAATAGGACATGAATTTTTTAAAATATTCTGCGAGATCTAGCCCGTCGAGCATGTGCTAACTTCCTGAATTTGCATTAGCGGCGATTATAACACGAACGGGGACGATTTGAAATTTAAATCCTGCTTTATTTGCTTACCTATTCGCAACGCGGGTCGCTTTAATACACTCCTCGAACAAGCAATTATTTTCCGACGACACCTCGCAGGATCTTTGCCCCAAAACGCCCCAGCTAAGTGATTTCGTTGATTTTGCAAAGTTTAAAAATATTGTTAAGGCTAATTCGTGAATCTGGATGTGTTCCAATGATTTGAACATTTTAGAGAGATAAACTGGTGGCTGTGGCCGTGCTGACGTCCGGAGCGTTCGCGCCCGTGCAAAAGGGCACCCAGGAGCTCTCGAAAGGAACGGAAAATTTGGCGGAGGAATCTCGAGAAACGGTCGTCGCCTTGACACGCAAGCGGCCCACAATACCTGGGGTCGAAATGTGCGATCCGGCTCAAAAAGGAGAAGTGCAGGGCATTGTAATACAAATCGTATGTTAATTTTAGTTCGAACCACTCGGAGCCATCAATGGCGCTTCGGAATATTCTAATAACAGTTACTTCATTTCTGTTAGGTATCCAATTCATGTTATGTAAGAAAAATGGGAAGTGGGTCAGCTTATAAATAAAACAATATGCAAAAACTAATGATTCAAAAATAAAAGAGTCGGGCCGCGGTTTTGGTCTTGGGTTTGTCGTACGAATCGGCGAGCGCGCCGCCCCCGCCGCCGCCGCTCTCTTCGCGACCGCCGCTTGTCGTTCCGTTACGCGGCGATGATTAAAAATGAGAATGCCAGGCAAAACGTGCTTTCATAAATATTTTATCCTACATTCTAAAAGCGAGGGATTCAGTAGCCAGTATTAGAATGTAGTACGTTGGCTCCCGAGTTGTTTCTCTGTAGCAGACGTACGAATCGGATATTTTTAACCCGAGAACTATTTGCTTGTTTGCTGCCAAAATGTTTGAACTATGGCAAATAGTTCGTTTACTACAAAAATCGGCTTCCACTCGACCTTGCCCAGGCCCTTCCGACCCTCGGCCGCCGCCGCAAAAAACGAACGCGTCTAGACGCCTCCGTCTAGCCTCGACTATTAAACTTCTAAGATCAATGAAGTCTAACGACTTCGTCTGATCAAGAATCGGCGATGGTTTCGCCGTCTGCACTTGACGGTTTATTATTCTATCGAGTGTTTAGTCTGCAGTCTAGTATTTTTGAAATTTGCAACTTCTAAAAATATTACACGAGGCGAATCTGGCGATACAGCAACAACGATCGAAAACAAGCCACGAAGCAATATATACGCGATGCGGTAAACGCGCTTTTATGAATGGTTTTACTACGGGGTACACGCATTTTTTTAGCCGAGGTGAAAGCACACTGCGGACGCGTTCGCGGTTTCCGCGGGAGTGGGCGGCGGGAGAGCCTTTTATCGGAACTTGGACGAAAACTGTTACGCTTTTCGAGGTTTCACGGTCGCAGACTCGGTGACCTTTCGACGAACTGAACGTTGATGCTCGGGGAGGTTTCGGGGTGTTTGCACACGGGTGGGCGCACTGCTTTCATAATTGACTGGGAAAGTTGTGCGTGTTGCCTTTGATAAGAACAATATTTGTTGGCACACGAGTTTTTCGAAAAAAAACGCGGCGGGGAATGAACTTGGTGTTTATTTAGTCGAAACCAAAATTTTCAAGGACTGGAGCGACAAGAGACGACCTTGATGCTTCTACAAACTCTCCTTTAATTCAAGATGAAGTAGTTCCCCTTTTTTCGGTCAAACTTAAAGCCTGCTTCGTCAAAACGTGTTGGGTTATCGAACCCTTTTTCCGTCAGTAGATCTAATCTTACTTCGTCTACTAACGATCGTCATTAATCTGGTGTCCATCATTGCGAACCAGGAAACCTTTTCTAGGCATAACCGCGTCAGTTCTAAAAAGGGTTTTCGTAAGGAGCATCCATCCTCAGGAAATAAAGGGCAATTTTAACTCTGGAAAGGCAGATTTCGTAGGCTTATATTTTTCGCTGTCATCTATTGACTGGTCAAAAAAAAACAAGAATTTGAAGATTCTACTCTGCTCCTAATGTCCTCCATATAATACCGCAAACAATTTAAACAAACAGTAAACGCTTCTGGCACCAAGTCGCAACCCATAATGACATACGACCCAACACGTGCTTTGATTTTGAATAATCTACCCACCTGCTAGAACTTTGGAAAATCCTGATACAACATAACCTTTCTATTCATAACTCTCTAAAACAACGCTCCGAAGGCACCTCGATCTAGCACCGAACACTTCCAACTGCCGACTCCTGCCTTCCCGCCACGACGCATTAGCGGCCTCGGCTTTGGCAAATCGTCCTCTTCATTCGGGCTTGTTTGTTGTGCTATGGGTCGTGCCGGTTCTGAGCGCGCGGAAGATTAATAAAGATGCTGCCGCGACAGCGTTCAAGAATAATTGTATATTACAATGTATGTACAATGTATGTACCGTGTCGACTGCGGGGGGCGTGCAGAGCCCACAGTCTGCTGCTTCTGTTCTAAATTAGGGGCTGGCCAACCGCCAGCTGCCCGCGTGGCGCGTGTGTTAATACACCTAGTGTCACACACCGCGATCCTCGCGGAACCATTGTCCAGAGGTGGCGGGTCCCGAGGGATGGCCGCAGGGCTCCGCCGGGGGCCCTGTGCTGCTCCCGCCGTGACCGTGAGTACTAAGTGTCTAATAACGTTTATATATTACCTAGAAAACGTATTTCGTAAATCGGAGCTGGTACGTATGGGAGTTGCAATTAAAAAAGGCCTCTTTGTGTTGCCTTGTGGGGCGCGCTGTGGTTAGATTTAGCGAATCGTTGGTGTTGTTTTTGGAATTGACTCGTTTCCTTGTTCGCAGGATGGTAGCGGAGTAGAGAGAGAGAAGAGCAGCATCAGCAGGTCCGATGAAGAGTGTCCCCAAGATGGTGTTGGGCAGCACCCTCGCGCGATGCAATGTCCGTCCCACGCGGCCCCATCCGATCGAGTCCTACTGGGATCCCGCTCGCGCGCCCTTCATCCGATAAGGGTGCGGCCCCGTGGTGCCCCTTCCGTGCTTGGAGCGTTTCGGTCACGAACAGTTGTCCCGGGAGCCCCCTGGTCGCCGTCATCGCCTCGCGAGCCCTTTATGCCGGGACGTTGGCCACCATTTGGACCACGGCCCCGAGTCTCCAGCGTCCCTGCGCCCAGCTGGCCGCCCTGTGTCTCCTTGCCACTCTAACGGCAGCGGCAAGGTGCTATGCGTGCTCGAACGCCAATCTAGCCCGATTCGAAGACCCTTCCTTTAGTCCAATTGATGATTCCGACGCCCGAACGCGTTCTTCCATAGTGTTAGGTAGACCGACTCCTCCCCCTCGTGATACTAGCGTAGTCGTAGCGGATTCCGAAGGCTCGCCGCCGAACAACGAGACCAAGACGAGTCGGACTAGGCGCGAGCTGACTGCACCCACGGGAATCAACCGGATCGTGGACGAGAGCAAGAGGAACGCGCTGGGCATTGGCAAACTTAACTTGGAGAAGAGGTCGGATGTGCTGGTGTCCAGTGAGACTGACGGGAGTGTGAGTGAGAGTAGTGATAGGGTGAACTCGTCGATCGTGGACGTTGCGCCAGAGGCTGAGCACCAGAACGACAGCAGTTTCGTCGACGAAGACGATCCCTACGGACACCTCGAAGGCACTGAACGGCCCATGCCTCCGGTGCATGACCACGGCAACGCTTCATGTGAGTCTCTTACTGTCTTTACTCAAAATGTTTCCGAGACGTGCAAATTACTATCGACCGAGATTTTTTTATATACATGTGTAAAAATTGTTGCGTAGAAAGTTGTTTATTTTGTTTGAAGCACCGTGTATGAGGTTAACAAACGAATCCAAACATGTTGGCGTATTTTAATGATCCAGTAGATTTTTTTCAACGAGAGTAAAACAGCCAATTCGAGGATGACTAATTTGTTACCTTTGACCTTTTTAGACAATGTATGGACTTTTTAATATACAGAAAAATAAAATTTTAGAAATTAATATGACATCGAAACGCATGAAGCTTTTGATATTATAGAGTTTACAATTAACTTCCATCTGATTGTACACAAATTTTCCAAAGGGTAATTAAGTTTGTAATGATTACATAAGCTTATTAGACAATTAGATAATTTATTGACTATATTGATCGTCGGCAGTAATAAATTGGTCGAAGGTTATCTCGACAGACCTTCCCTCGCGCCTGCACTGCAACCCAATCCTGTTCTTTGAAAAATTATAAAAATTTTTGGGAATTTTGTTTTCTGATAATCTCTATAAAGTAAAAACCAGTGGCGTAAATATTTTGATTTTTTTTCAATTGTTTGATTTTCCAATGTTCCGATTTTATAATTTTCTGTTTTCTCAATCTCGATTTTTTTCAATTTTTCGTTTCTTGGACTTTTCGAATTTCAATTTTTATTTATTTTTTTCTTCAATACTGCGATATGAATCTCTTTGAGTTTCCATTTTAAAATTGGTCAGTTTCTCGATTTTCCAGCTTTTGGATGTTTCAATTTTTGGATTTACAGTTGCGTTAGTTTTCAGTTTTTAATTGTTTAATTTTTCGATTTTAAAATTTTTCTTGCCTTCAGTTTTTCATTTCAGTTTTTTATTTTCGTTGTTTTTAAAATTGTTCGGTTTTTTTATGTTCTGATTTTATAATTTCTTTTTTTTCAATGTGAAATTTTTCAATTTTTTGATTTTTCAGTTTTTCATTTCTTCAGTTCTTGATATGCAATTTTTCTAGTTTTCACTTTAAATATGTGTTGATTATTATAATTTTTAAAGTTTTTCACATTTTCAATTCTAAGATTTTAGAATTTTTCCATTTTCACTTACCAAGCGTAAGCTAATGTGTACTAATCCAGTCCATTGGACTTTTCCTGTTAATGGATTTAAAAAATTTTTCAATCATTCGATTCTTAGTTTTTCAATTTTTCATTTTTTCTTCAATTCTCGATATGCAACTTTTCCTATATGGGCTATTTGCCCGTTGGATGATCAATAAACCTAGTCTATTCTATTCGAGTTTCCATTTAAATATTTTAGTTTTTCAGTTTTCCAGCTTTGGAATGTTTCACTTTTAGATTTACAGTTTTAGTAGTTTTCGATTTTTAATTTTCCGATTTTTAAACTTTCATGCCTTCACTTTTTTGTTTCGGTTTTTTGTTTTCTTTATTTTTAAAATGTTTCTTTTTTTCAATATGAAATTTTTGGATATTCCAATTTTTCGATTTTTGAACTTTCAGATTTTTAAATTTTTTGGTTTTTCAATTTTAGATTTTTTAGTTTCTCTATTTTTCAGTTTTTCGTTTCTTGAGTCCTTGATTTGCAATTTTTCTAGTTTTCATTTTAAATATAATAATGTTATTTATTTTTTAAAGTTTTCACTTTTTCAATTTTGAGATTTTAGAATTTTTCCATTTTTACCGTCCGTCGTCAATTATTGGATTTAAAAAAAATTAGATTTTCGATTTTTACTTTTTCGATTCTTAGTTTAATTTCTCAATATTTAATTTTTCGATTTTTCAACTTTTTGAATAAAAAACAGGAAGAGTGTAAAAGTGTGAAATGGAAATTTTGAAAAATTTAATTTAAAAATTGGAAATTAAGCATTTGAAAAATTGACACGAAAAATTAGAAAATCAAAGTTCAGAATCTTAAAACTCGAAAACGAGAAAAGTATTGTTAAATCGAAATATTGAAAATTAAAGACATCGGAAAATCGGATAATTCTAAATCCAAAAAATGAAAAATTAAAAAATTGTCTTCAAATTTTGAATTTCCAATTTTTTGTTTCGGTTTTTTATTTTCTCTATTTTTACAGTTTTTCGATTTTTTAATGTTCCGATTTTATAATTTTTAATTTTTTCAATTTTTCTATTTGCAGTTTTTCAATTTTTCATTTTTTTCTTCAATTTTACGATATGGACTTGTTCCTATGTTGGATGATCAATAAACTATTCTATTCTATCCTATTCGAGTTTCCATTTTTAAATTTTCCAGTTTCTCAATTTTCCAGCTTTTGAATGTTTCAATTTTTAGATTTACAGTTTTAGTAGTTTTTCAATGTTTAATTTTTCAATTTTTAAATTTTTCATCTCCAATTTTTGTCTCGGTTTTTTATTTTCTTTATTTCTAAAGTTGTTCGGTTTTTCAGTGATATAATTTTATCATTTTTCTTTTTTTTTATTTTTAGACTTTTCAATTTTTCCATTTTTAAACTTAGATTTTTAACTTTTTCGGTTTTTCAATTTTAGATTTTTCAATTTCTCGATTTTTCAGTTTTTAGTTTCTTCAAAAATTTTGATTTGCAATTTTTCTAGTTCTTATTTTAATTATGTAGAATAGCAAAATTGTAAAATTGAAAAATCAAAAATGAGAAAGCGAAAAAGTATAAAGTGAAAATTTTGAAAAATTTAAAAATTGGAAATCAAGTACTTGAAAAAATGAAGAAATGAAAAATTAGAAAATCAAAATTCAGAATCTTAAAACTCGAAAACGAGAAAAGTATTGTAAAATGGAAATTATGAAAATTAAAGACATCGGAAAATCGGATAATTGTAAATCCAAAAATTGAAAAATTTAAAAATTGTCTTCAAATTTTGAATTTCCAATTTTTTGTTTAGGTTTTTTATTTTCCCTATTTTAACAGTTTTTCGATTTTTTAATGTTTTATAATTTTTTATTTTTTTCTTCAATTTTACGATATGGATTTGTTCCTATGTTGGATAATCAATAAATTACTCTATTCTATTCTATTCGAGTTCCCATTTTTAAATTTTCCAGTTTTTCGATTTTCCAGCTTTTGTTTCCATTTTTAAATTTTCCAGTTTTTCGATTTTCCAGCTTTTGAATGTTTCAATTTTTAGATTTACAGTTTTAGTAGTTTTTCAAAGTTTAATTTTTCAATTTTTAAATTTTTCATCTCCAATTTTTGTCTCGGTTTTTTATTTTCTTTATTTCTAAAATTGCTCGGTTTTTCAGAGATATAATTTTGTCATTTTTCTTTTTTTTTATTTTTAGACTTTTCAATTTTTCCATTTTTAAACTTAGATTTTTAACTTTTTCGGTTTTTCAATTTTAGATTTTTCAATTTCTCGATTTTTCAGTTTTTAGTTTCTTCAAAAATTTTGATTTGCAATTTTTCTAGTTCTTATTTTAATTATGTAGAATAGCAAAATTGTAAAATTGAAAAATCAAAAATGAGAAAGCGGAAAAGTATAAAATGAAAACTTTGAAAAATTTAAAAATTGAAAATCAAGTTCTTGAAAAAATGAAGAAACGAAAAATTAGGAAATCAAAATTCACAATCGTAGAACTCGAAAACGAGAAAAGTATTGTTAAATCGAAATATTGAAAATTAAAGACATCGGAAAATCGGATAATTGTAAATCCAAAAATTGAAAAATTTAAAAATTGTCTTCAAATTTTGAATTTCCATTTCTTTGTTTGGGTTTTTTATTTTCTTTATTTTTACAGTTTTCGATTTTTTAATGTTCCGATTTTATAATTTTTTGTTTTTTCATACTCGATTTTTTCAATTTTTCGATTTGCAGTTTTTCAATTTTTCATTTTTTTCTTTAATTTTACGATATGCACTTGTTCCTATGTTGGACGATCAATAAATTATTCTATTCTATTCGAGTTCCCATTTTTAAATTTTCCACTTTTTCGATTTTCCAGCTTTTGTTTCCATTTTTAAATTTTCCAGCTTTTGAATGTTTCAATTTCAGTAGTTTTTCAATGTTTAATTTTTCAATTTTTAAATTTTTCATTTCTAATTTTTGTCTCGGTTTTTTATTTGCTTTATTTCTAAAGTTTTTCGGTTTTTCAGTGATATGATTTTATCATTTTTTCTTTTTTTTTATTTTTAGACTTTTCAATTTTTCCATTTTTAAACTTAGTTTTTTAACTTTTTCGGTTTTTCAATTTTAGATTTTTTAGTTTCTCGATTATTCAGTTCCTCGATTTTTCAGTTTCTCGATTATTCAGTTTCACGATTTTTCAATTTCTCGATTTTTCAGTTTTTAGTTTCTTCAAAAATCTTGATTTGCAATTTTTCTAGTTTTTATTTTAATTATGTAGAATAGCAAAATTGTAAAATTGAAAAATCAAAAATGAGAAAGCGAAAAAGTATAAAACGAAAACTTTGAAAAATTTAAAGATTGGAAATCATGTACATACTTGAAAAAATGAAGAAACGAAAAATTAGGAAATCAAAATTCAGAATCTTAGAACTCGAAAACGAGAAAAGTATTGTTAAATCGAAATATTGAAAATTAAAGACATCGGAAAATCGGATAATTGTAAATCCAAAAATTGAAAAATTTAAAAATTGTCTTCAAATTTTGAATTTCCAATTTTTTGTTTCGGTTTTTTATTTTCTCTATTTTCACAGTTTTTCTATTTTTTAACGTTCCGATTTTATAATTTTTTATTTTTTCAATCTTGATTTTTTTCAATTTTTCGTTTCTTCAATTTTTCGATTTGCAGTTTTTCAATTTTTCATTTTTTTCTTCAGTTTTACGATATGCACTTGTTCCTGTGTTGAATGATCAATAAATTATTCTATTCTATTCTATTCGAGTTTCCATTTTTAAATTTTCCAGTTTTTCGATTTTCCAGCTTTTCAATGTTTCAATTTTAGATTTACAGTGTCAGTAATTTTTAATTTTTCAATTTTTAAACTTTCATGTC